TATACAGGCAATTATTAATATCTTTAAATGCCTTCATGCATCACATATAAATATTTATATTTCTTTATAAATCTATCGTTACTAGGTGTTAAATAAATATATAGATAACAATTCAGTATATTTTTTAACTGTACATCAAAAGGAATTGCTTCAATACTGTAAGTTTCTGATATCTTACCTGCTCATATATCTTTATAAATATATAAAAAAATATATTCAGCTAATATTGTAGAAAATTAGATTCACGGAATTATATGTACGAATGAAGACAATTTGACCATAAATTTCTCACCTAGCTCAAATAGATTTTATATAAGCTTGAATCTTGCAATATCATGATCGCTTAATAAAAACGACACATGAATATCAAGAATTGGCAATAGATTCTAGATCGCTTTAATATATTGATAAATATCTATTGAATATTATGCAATTATAGGCATAAAATGCTCATTTGTACTATCTGTGTATCAGTTTGTTAAATGAATCTTTAATGAATTAAGTGGATTATTTAGAAGATGAATAAAACGATCTAAGAATCTAACTGTAAAAAGAATTTAAAATATTTGTCCAAGTATTGTGCTAATAAAACTTGTTACAATTCAAGGGGTACATCCCCGTAACTAACCTCCTGTAACAAATCCTGAGCAGCAATGGCTTTCAAAACATTCTTCTTGCTAGTTTCTTGAATTTCACCACCGACAAGTAATTCGTCTAAGATAAAGTATGCCTTCTCAAAGTTGAAAATTATATCCAACTCGCATACCTAATAATATTATCATCATTGCAATCAATCTGGTAAACAAAGAAAATGCTAAAAATACTTATGAACTTACAATTTTAAATTATACTTACACTGCCGAAATATTTATCCAACAATTCAACATATCGATGTATAATTTCCAAAGTGAGTAGTTCATTGTCATTTTGCTCAATTGCGCAACAAAAATATAAACTTGCATATCTATAAGCATAAATATGGAATTTTATAAGCAAATTTAATAAAATATAAAGTAAAAAAATTTTTACAGCTGTATTACTTGGCAGAACATAGGCTAGTACTTATAGTGTCTGTTCTTTTTAACTGAATTGACTGCAATACTTTAAGAAATACACCAAAGCATGAACATCTCATACATATACTTCAGCTTATATAAATTTCTTGAACTAGTGCTGCTAGTTCGACTAAAAAGAACAGACCAATTGTCTAATCTTATATTTAAGAGCATCTTAAATTCATTTTTAAATGCTCTACAATAAGTAAAACGATTTGTACAGTATCTGAAGATAGACTAAAAACGATTTTAAATAAGATCTGATTGTAAATACCGCGCACAAAGATTGAGGTATATATATTGCTTGTCAATGACATACCTTTTGTAGACAACTTTGACATCTTTCCATTCTAAGAAACTCGACATTTTTGGCTTACGTGCGAGTATCGTAGTTATTAATTCACGTGTGATTTTCTTCTTCAATTTATCCGGATGCGCGACATACCATTTTTGTAAACGAAGTTTTCCCTGACGGCTGAACAATAACATAAATTGCATCTGCAAACAAACGGCAATTATCGATGAATTGCGACGTACCACATATCTCCGTGCACAGAAAAAACGATAATATACGACTTACCATATTGTTGCTTTTGACTTTATTATTTCTTGTCTTTCACAATTGGCACTACGTGTAATTAGGTGATAAACAATGGCACTCGTATCAATTGTGCACAGATCAAACTAACCGAACTGGACCTAACGGCATATGCATAAACGATCACATCGACATGTTGGATCTACGAGAGAGATAATTGGATGAAGCATACGAGTGAGGAAGATATGAAAAATGAATACGATAATGGCTCCGGCAGACCGACGCGACACACGATGCGTAATAACCAATGAACGTATAGCTCTCCGGAACAGTACACTCATTGGATATCATGCATCTCGTGTCGCATCACGCTGGTCTCTATTGGAATCATAAAGCCGGGTCTACAATAGTTGCGTTCGGTTTTGCAAGTTGGAGACATTTCTGGTTGCTCCAGGAAAGTTGTTTTATTGGTTAGATACCATCTTATTATAAAATTATCTTGAGATAATCTTAAAAGTAAATCTACGTCTCCGATTTGCGAAACCAAATGCAGGTAATAAAGACCTTTCACACATGGGTTGTCGTAGGCAGTTAGGGAGAATTCATACCTTGACAGAAAAGCAGCAGCCAACCAGAACTGGCGCTGGTAGTAAGCAGTAGATAAAGCAGAAACTATCGACTACCAGCACGAGTTCTGATTGGCTGCTGCTTTTCTTTCAAGGTGTAAATCCTTCTAAACTAAAACTAAAATTACTAGGCTACACTTTCCGTTGTCGTCATATTTTTAGGATGTATGGCTCATTTTATTGGCTACGAAGTATCAATCATCTATGAATTTCTGTCTAATGTTTTGAAATATAAATAACTACATTTCTTTGCTAAAGTAGCAAAAACTTTTCAAATTTGACCTTTTAATGGCATAATTAAAGAGATATTCGACAAAATATTTTTATTAGAAATATCTTGAGTTCAACAAAAATACATTTGTTCTTGAAAGATTAAAATTCACTTTAATCTTTTTAGCACTTAAATATATTATTTTCTTGCCTGTCTACTATTGACAATAGCAGCGTTCAGCAGACCGTTTATTTTACAACTGTTGGAAGTTTTTTGAGCTAAGATTGAATTATTCTTGTAAATCTAAAGGAGTAATCCAATCTCAGTACAAAGAAATCTTAGCAATTATAAAAACAACGTTCTACTGAACGCGGCCAATGGAAACGTGTTGACAATAATATGAAAACTATTTTAACTTTAATTTTCTTAAATATAAACTTGAGTAACTATTTAATATATGGTACTGGAACTTCTCGATATAACATGTAACTTAGGTAGCTTTAAAGAAATCTTCCGAGCTAGTTGTGTAAATATGTCCTTCGCAAGAGAGAAAATCTAATATCTCATCCAAGCGAGATATGACGTGTTTAGGCAACTTTGTTATAATGTCACGTTTCTCAATACCACAATCAGAATCATGCGCGGATCGAACGATTTCAAGAACCGTCATTTGTTCGGGCGACATGCCACTCATTGTGTTATCAAATGTTAACGCATTGGGTTCAGCGGCGGATTCTCCCACAGACTTGTTGCAGTTCAACATAAAATGTATCACTTCCATAAAGTGGCATGTCAGATGATTCAGATTTTGCAGGGGATATATACGCAAAATTAATACGTGCCGTTGATTATTTTGGTCGCGTATCAGCCCATGAACTCGCACATACGTGTCGATTTGTATGTCTTCCACAGCATTCTTATCTGCTTCCAACCACATCATAGCTGTGAGAATACCTGTTACAACAGCGTGAACATGATATTGTTATACAATAATAACAATAGCTTAAAGAAACATAAGTATTTCAAGGACACCTAATTTTGGTGCAATACGTTCACAAATATATAACTCAGGTTTACTCGAGAAATAATATACTAATTTATCGAGGCCACGTCAATTTCATTACACAGTGTCGTCGAAATGATTCGTGCGAAATAAGCACCTGTATCATCCTGGATGTGGTAAGAGATCTTCGTTGTCTCTTGCTCGATATGACGCACGATCCCGACGAATTTCAAGGTGTTTATGGTTTTACCACCAATCTGCAAGTCTCCCGTCGTCGAGGTTATATGTTTTATCAGCACCGGAACGATATTCCTGTCGTTGCTCTGTGCTCCCTTTTTCCCGCCACCGCCGGCCTGCGTGCCGCTCACACTCTCATCGAGAAAGCCGCCTCCGAAACCAGCGGAGCTTTCATTCCACATGTTTGCAGATGATGTGCAAACTCTCTGATGATCACCGGAATCCGTATACGTGCGAAACAAACGCTAAATGCTGAAAGGCCGATTTTTCGCCCGACGGCCAGATGACAGTTGAAAGCATCAAGAAGTTATGCGGCGCGAGGGTTTAGGTTGGGTCGGAAAAGTTTCAAGGTTAGGTTTGGTTGAAATTCAAATCGCGCACTTGCGAGCTGCGTTCTCTTTGGGCGTTCACGCGCTGCAAACGCGTCATTCTACCTTTTTTTTGGCATGCAACGAACAAAGATAGAACAACGCTTGTAGCGCCCAAAGAGAACGCAACCGTGATCGTGCCGCTCTTATCTAACGTCGTGTTTTATTTACACGTCAAAATTACTCTTGGTGTTCAATAGCACAATTTGGAAAACGATAAATGTTGAGAAAGAAGAAAGACTATATATATATATATATATATATATACACGTTACGTTAGCTTGTACCAACATTCCGTTACTACTGCCGAAATTTGTGGACACAGCTTAACGATTGGTGAAACAAAAAGAAAAATACGAAACGGGAACTTCTTGTATAATGTATTTGTACACGAGCATGTGATGTTAAATTCGAGTACCGGTGCCGTTGATGAATGGAATTTTAAGAGCAGGATTGTACCTGTTTGATACGAAGGTCCCCGTTTAAATTTAGCGGGAAGGACACCATACTGACTCGTTCGGCCACGAAAGGCGCTTCGTTTCAATATCCTCGTCGATGAGACGGCAGATTGTCCGACTTGCATCCCAGGAGTCGAAGGAAGTCGGCGGATTGTCCGAATCCCTGGTTTGTTGATTTTAAGTTACCATAAAAAGTATCATGGCGTCTAGGAGCCATGTGGACAACACGGTGAATGAGCGCCGTTTGCGGCCGATTTACGGTACGTATAGCCACGTCCGACGGCGACCGGGGCTGAAATCCGTCGCGTCCACCTCCGTCGAGTCTCACGGGCCGTATCCGCGAAACCGGCAACTAGGTTATGTAACGGCACTCGGTGAAGCATCCCCGTTTTTCAGACTGGTTGGACAATGGGAACAATAAGAAGGCCCTCCAGGAGGCGGACAAGGTGCTTAGGAAACAACCGGGTAATCAGTGCGCCAGGGTGCTCAAGGCTCTGGCCTTGTTGCGGCTGGGCAAGCAGGATGAGTGCCAAGTTATCATGGACAAAGTACAGTCTGAGATACCCTGTGAGGATTCTACTCTACAGGCGATGAGTATTTGCTACAGAGAGACACTTCAGCGTAAGTTTTTTTTTTTTTTTCAGCCGGTGTCTCAGAGTATTGACTTGATTAATTCAAGTTTCGGCTTCTCTGAACTCAATTCTCTGACGAAATAAAATGTATATGTAATAAGATTAATATTTATGATATGTTAAGATTATATCCATACACGTAGTGAGTTGTTGTGACTGTTCTACCGTGCCAACTTCGTTGAATTTATTCATGTGTAGCTGACAAAATTAGCGAGGTTTATGAAGCTGCTGCAAAAGCCGATCCACATAACGAGGAGCTCCTGACGCATCTTTTCATGTCGTACGTTCGCCTTGGTGATTATAAGAAACAGCAACAAACTGCCCTGGCCTTGTATAAAGTAAAACCTAAGAATCCATATTATTTTTGGGCTGTTATGAGTATAGTGATGCAAGCTACTCATTCAGATGAAAAGCTAGCAAAAGGAGTTACACTGCCTTTGGCGGAAAGAATGGTTTGTACACTGATTCTTACATATAATTTTGTATAATTTTGCGTATAATTATGTTCTTGCTATTATTAGCCACTAATTACTGTTATATATGACATATATCGCACGTGTTTGTAAAGTCATAAGATTAGTTAGTTTTATGTATCGAGGTGTGGAGGTAACTAATCATTTGATTTCTATGAGTACATCAGGTCCTAAAGTTAGTAAAGGAAGGCAAGATGGAAGCGGAGCAAGAAGTGCAGCTTTACCTGATGATTTTAGAACTACAAGACAAACACGAAGAGATATTAAATGTATTGTCTAGTCCCTTAGCTTCGTATCTTTCATATGTGCCACAACGAAGGGCCACACTTTTATTGAAGTTGGAACGTTTTCCCGAAGCTGCTGAAGCATACCAAGAACTTATAAGGAAAAAGTGAGAACCGAATCCAATTGATATTCTCTCGATGTTTACAGTACGTAAAGAAGACTCGTTTATTCTACGCACAATTACAATTACCCGTTTATCATATACAGCACTGACAATTGGGCATTTTATCAAAATTACCTTTCGATGGCCTTAAAGTTTCAACAACCGACGGAATGCTTGGATTTTTTTAACGATATTATTAACATGTCCGAGAACAAGATCCGCGCGCCGTACTTGGCACGCTTGGAATTACTGAAACGTACCTGTACTGGCGAAGATGATGCGCAGTACAGTTTGCAATCTGTGAATCTTATGCACCAACATTTTTCACAATTTGGAGAAAAAGGCTGTGTAGTTAGTGACTTGCAATTATATCTAAATATACTCACACCCAAGGGCAAAATGGAGTTATTGGAAAGGGTAAGGAAAAAACGGTAAAACCTGAATACGTATACATTCTTGAAATGTGCATGTACGATCGCATTAGCATCTCCTCTAGTATCTTTGTTATGTCAAATGCACGTTCATACGATTCCTATATGTTTGCGATATTCGTAGATTGAGAAAGATGTTGGCGTCGCGCCAGACAAGTTTCCCACCACCGTACAGCAGATCCAAAGGCACATCCACTTGGAGCAGTTGCGACGTATCTGCGGTTTCCACCATCCTCCTTTGGCGGACAGAAATAAACAGGAGGAACTGATAAAGCGGCTGTGTGATCTGTATGAGAAGGCCAACGAGCTATGCCCGGTGCAGGAAAGATTGCCGACCGACTTTTGCCCGGCGGATTCGTACATTCTATTAGCTTCGCATCTGCTGCATCAATTATGGGTTGACACTAATGACTCGTCTTTCCTTTACAGGTAATGATCGCTGATAATATAGTTGAAAGTACACACACACACACAGTTTCTACAATGATGAATTTGCAGGGCGATATCGTTGTTGGAACGTTGCCTCCTGTCGAGTCCTGCAAATTTTCATGTAAAAATTCTGCTCGTGCGGATATACTTGGAGGTCGGTTTGGTGGTAGCGGCCGACCGTGCGTTCACGTTGCTCGACGTCAAGCACCTGCAGCTAGACTCGCTGGGTCACCTCCACGTGCCTCTTCTCGCGCCTCTCGGCGACTTGACGCTGGCCTCGACGACTCTTGATCATACAGCGAAGTTTTTCATAGCCAATTACAAGGATGTACGTAACCTTAGGCTCAACGGATTAACTCTTTGTGGTTAATAATATGTCGAATTTGCCGGCATTCGCGTTCCTTTCCAGTCGGTTCTATAAAAGCAACTTTTTATTCGTCGATTTTCATACGGGCATATCAAATAACTGTATGTTGTTATATCAATTAAATGTTGAAATATTAAAATGTAAATGCAAACCACGCGATATTGTCGCGAGATAAATGAATCTCCATGGTTGGGAAACGGAAAAGTCGAAAACAATTCGGACCGCAAGGAGTTAAGCGCAAGGATGAGAAGAGCTCGAGACTAATTCATGCGTTATTTTTCTTTTTTGTTTTAGAGTGCGGATCACTTAACGTTTGCGTACAAATACGGGAGTTTTGTAAAGATACAGGAATTTGTGGAGTTGAGAGAACGCCTAGAAAATTCGTTTCACTTCGCTACGACGACTGTAGATAAAATGCTGCTCGATTTGTGTTGGTGCGACAGTACTTCCTCCTTCTTTTCTAATTTGAATAGTATGCACATACAACCTAATAAAGATTCGGTTAGATGGGATTCTCTGCGGGACAATCGTAATTTGGAGGTAAACATTTTTGCGAGTCGCGAAATATAAATCCGGCGAAAATAATGCGAGGCCGATCATTCGATCAGACATGATAAATTCCATAAATTATGGGATTGAATAGGTTGTTTATGGGTGGGAGCCGTGTAACCAGAGCGAGGGGGATCCAAGAATGCGGGAGGAGACACGGTTATCCATGCTGAGACTGCTCGGGGCGAGGAGTCTCATGTTGCGCATCTTGGTAGCGAGTGCCGAGCCGGACTCTTCTATCCTGTTCTCTCAATTATCCGCCGAGCTTAAGCAATTAGACGACGAGCATATTCCGCACATTCTGCAAAAATTCGATGCGGATGGCAAGCAGAACAGGCCGTGCAATATCCTGGTCCCGCTGGATGCCGTGGAAAGATTACGAGAGGCTCATTATTCTGAGCAGTTGAGGACCGTAGCACGTCTTGCTAAGTCGCTGTCTCACTCACCGTGCCCTGATTCGGATTGCATACAGATGCTGCGGCGCTCATCTTGCTTGCAGACGTTACCCATTCCCGAACGGGACACGCCGGTATCCTTCATGAACTTCTTACTCAGAGCCACAACTTGTGGCGAATCTTTAGCAATCATTAGCGCCATATGCAGCAGTGCGTGTGCGATGCAGTCGAAACCACGTACTAGGCAAAAGAAGAATAAAAAGAAATGCAATAAAAATATCGAATCTGACGTGATAGATGAGACTAACGAATCTAAGGTAATTACTTCTCCTATTGTTTCTTAAAAAATCTAATACAAGCGCGAAAAGGGGGGAGTTTATTTTGACAATCGTTTCATATACACTGAATTAAGTATGATGATGAACGTCGTAATGAATTATCACGATTCATTTTATTGCAGACTTGGAGAGAAGTAGCTACATTATTATCGGAGAGAATCCGAGATTTAGACGCGGTTTTAACAGAATTCGAAAAGTACGAGCTGCACACAGGACTGGACGAGAATGACGATGTGTGCGCCAACATCGCGAAGCGCGGCCAAGCGAGTCTCCGACAAAGTTCCAGAGCCCTCAAATCTCGTGCCCAGCTCACGTTAAGGTTTCTAAGTAACTTGAAGAGCTAAAACCACTCGACAATATTTGTACAAAGAGGATCTATCCGTCTACTTAATAATTTTCAAGAACTATTCAAGGATGATTCTGTACATAATTCTTAGTCCTAATCAATTATAAATATTGTATGAATGGTTTAATGCCGATTGAGAGATACCTCTGAGACTATCTTCATTTGTGAAAAGTATCGCGCGATCATTACATCACACTGTACACTGGCGTCATCTGACCCGCGTTCACAATTAACACATTGAGTGCCGCGCCGGATTCGAGTGTGAATTCCACCCGGGGTCCGAATCATCCGGCCGCCACGCGTGGTCGTATATGCAGAGTCCAATTTATACATTGCCAGCCGCACGAGTTGTACCCGATTAGGTAAGACTTGGTGAAATTACTTCCAATTAGGTAAATAAAATCTTCACTCCTGCAAACGGACGAGTCCCGCGGAAACTTAAGCGTCATCCAAATACGGAGGTGACACTCAACGTGTTAATAATAGAAATGTCATACTCTTGAAAATGAGGCTTGTGACAGCTGTATAAGTTCAAACAATCGTAGAGCTCGCTCTCGCAGCTTCTTACGCCTAAAGGTGTTTGAAGGTACGCGACTGTCTCTGATTGATTTAAAGATGGCTTTATCTATTTTTAGTTGTGCTTCTTTCATCTCTCTTTTTACCATTATGGAAGTAACATTACACAAGACACTTTAGGTAAAACCTGTTTCGCGTCCAGGTTCGTCCATTCATATGATGAATGGATCATACTTTCTACATGCATTCTATTTGCATAGGACGTGTAAGAAAGTTATTTTTAAAAATAACACATATTTTTATTACATCTTGTAATGTTATATACAATATTATGATATACAACACAATTTTGTAATATTATATATAATATTATAATACACATACACACACATACATAAAGATATTCATTTGCATTCATCGTTACTATCGAAGAAATGTGAAATTGATGAAGTATCCGGATGAACATAATCGTTGAAAAAATAGAAACGATAAATTGCAAATTTTTACATACCATTATGCGCTCTTTTATATCATTAAACTATTTTTTTTTTTTCCTTTTTTGAGCATATTTTGATTGTATTAGAGGTACCAAAATACAATGTCATTTTGTGAGAAATGAAGTTCAGGATTATTTGTTTTGCCTAAAGAACATTATGCATACACACAAGCATATAAGCACAAGTACACACGAGATGTGTTGTAATAAAAATAATTTTATTTACAAAAAACGTTTTTGTACATATCATACCCAACGCTGTCGCATATACACATACATAGTCGAGTTATATTACTTAAAATTGATCTACATTAATAGTTTAATAACATTAATAGTTATCATCTAAAAACCCTCTTACTTTTCTTACGTATACTGATTATCCTGTAGATACAGGATACCTTGACAATATTATTACATCCTTATATCAGCTCAGGACTCGTGACTGTGACATACAATTACACATAAATTACGATTGGTATGGGCGTTTCCGCAAACAAAAATGCGGAGGTCTCGACGATCCGATCACTGTTGACTTACACTTCGTCTTACGTTTTACGAGAATTCTATCACGGCGGATGAAGTACACGTTAAATAGCAACTGGCAGACAATCCAACGTCTTGTTGCGCGACAGTGACGTCTATTGACTTGTAATATGCACACGGGAGGAACAGATTACAGGCCCAATCTTCCAGGAGTGTTGCGATACGGAGCGGGGGTGCCGGGCTCTCTGATGCCGGGCGTCAGGATCTCCTTCTTCCGGACCGAGGCTTGCTCGCGCTCGAGCTGTTCTTGGGCGCGCGCCTTCATCTCCTCTTCGGCCTCCTTCATCTGATGCTCCATCTCGTGCAAGTGCTGCATCGCTTGCCGCCGCTTGGCGCGGCCGCTTCGGCCGGTCTCCTTCACGCTGAAGAACATGGGGCCCAGCTCGGCCAACCAGTGGCCATCGACCGCGGTGACGCACTGCATGTACTCCTTGGCCGTCATCACAAGCTCGTGATAGACTACGTAGTCGGGCGTGAAGCCCATGCCGAAGAGAGCCGAGGTCGGATGGAGGTGGCACGGCATCCCGGTGCGACAATTGACGTACTCGCCGATACCCTTGAGACGTGCCGCTTGGTGGAAGTACGCCGAGCAGATGCACTTCCGCACGACGTCCCAGTCGGTGCCGCAGCTGACCACGTCCATCTTCTGCTGCTTCAGGATCTCCTCGAGCTGCGACCGCACCTCTCGCACCTTGCGCATCGCCTTCGCGTGGATGAAGTGGTCGTTGCACCAGGAACTCGAATACCCGTTCGCCTTCCACTGGTTGTACACGTTCAGGTAGGTCAGATGATCGGACTCAGGCACCTGGAACTTTTCACGCGCCGAATCCGAGTCCTCTTCGCGGCCCTTCGGCCGATAGAAGATCGACGGTACCGAGAGCATGGAGACTATGATGAGGATGTCGGCGGTACAGCCGAGCTGGGAAGCGACTATGAGCATTTGACATTGCGGCGGGTCCAACGGGAACTCCGCCATCTGCCGGCCGAGAGGAGTCAAGCGGCCGGTGTGGTCGAGCGCGCCCAAAATCCACAACTGGTACAGGGAATTGAGGATGTTGTCCTGCGGCGGCGGGTCCATGAAGTGGAACGCCAATAGATCTTGGACTCCCAGGGACTTCAGCAGCAGCACCGTGTTAGCCAAGTTCGTACGTTGTATCTCCGGCACTCCGGTCAGCAGTAACTCGTCCAGATATTGTCTTCGCGTGTACAGCCGGTAGCACTGACCGGGACCGGTACGACCCGCTCTACCGGATCTCTGATCGGCGTTAGCTCTTGATACAGGGTACACCTGCAAAGCGTCCATACCTATCCGCGGATTGTACACTTTCAACTTGCAGTATCCCGAGTCGACGACGAAGACGATTCCGTCAACCGTCAGGGACGTTTCCGCGATGTTGGTCGCCACGACGCACTTGCGAAGGCCACCTTCGGAGCGCTGGAAGATCTTCGCCTGCAGGTCCGACGGTAATTGCGAGTAAATCGGCAGTATCGAGAGAGGCGGTGCCGACTCGATCTCGGCCAAACGTTCTTTCAGGGCCTCGCAGGTGACTTCGATGTCCTCCTGACCGGGCATGAAGACCAGCACGTCGCCGCTCTTGGGTTGCAGGTGGATCTGCAAGACCTGCTTCACAGCCGCGTCCACGTAATCGTCGACCGGGTTCTTCGCGTGCAACACCTCCACGGGGAACGTGCGCCCGGGTATCTGGAACGTCGCGGCGTTGCCGAAGAAAGCGGAGAACTTGCTGCAGTCCATCGTCGCGGAAGTCACGATCAGCTTGAGATCGTGTCGCCTGGCAACGACCTGCGAAAGTTTCTAATTAGACATCGAGTTTTCCTACATGCCTTATTGCACGTTTATTAAATCGCACGTTATGTATATATTTATTATATGTTATGAGAATATGAATAAATAATATATATTATATATTTGGAGTTGGGAGAAAGTTGATGCGTTTTAATTGCACAAGTCACCCACCTTCTCAGTAACGATCTGACGATAGTGCTGTCTTCCTTCGTCAGCAACGATACAATAATGCAATTGCATTTTTTGAATAACAATGACTAATATGATCTTTTTACTTTTATTTTTATCAGTCACTTTTATCGCTCTCTACTTTGCATGTATAAAATATATCTACAGCGATGTGTACGACAAATAAGGAGTTCTTAAGGAAGTTTTTAAAACTTGAAAAAAGATTTGATAACGAAAATTTTAACTTTTCCCAAATAAAAAAATAAATAAAAACGGTAACGAGTTATTCGTCAAAATAAAAATGAAATGGTAACGATAACGAGTTACTTTTTCCAATGAGTAACGATCAACGGAAGCCAAGTTACTTGAGAAAAAGATCACACTCCCTCCCTGATATCAAGTCGAAGAGCCCTCAGAAATGTTTCAGAACATGAATCCATTGACAGTACCTCTCTAAGGAGACCGAACAACACGTCCGTAGAAAGCGACCGTTCATGAGCCTCGTCCATTATAATTACACTGTAACGGTCCAGATCTCCTTCCCTCAAACTCTCTCGCAGCAAAATACCATCGGTCATATACTTGATCACCGTCTGCAAGAAGGAACAAAGTCAACGTCACACGTGTACATACAAAGAAGGAAATCTACAACAATTGTACATCCCGAAGGAAAAAAGCCGACCCCGTTGAAAGCACTCACATCTTTGGAAGTACAGTCCTCGAAACGTATCGCATATCCGACCTTGTCGCCTAGGGCAGTGGCCATCTCGTCGGACACTCTCTTCGCGACGGACATGGCGGCGACTCTCCTCGGCTGGGTGCAACCGATTATACCGTTGCGACTGTAACCGTCCTCGTGAAGATACTGCGTCAACTGCGTGGTCTTGCCGCTACCGGTCTCGCCGACAATCACGACGACGCTGTTCTCCCGGATGACGTTCAGCAGTTCTTGACGCACCGCGAACACCGGCAGGCTCCTTCTCTGATGCTGGATGGACCTGTGTTTCGCCTCTCCCGTCACCTCGCCGGCTCCTATGTGCCGGGCGTACTTCTGCCCGGCCTTGAAGTCCGTCTCCTGTCCCGCGAGTTCCTTGTCGTCCTTGCGCCGGTCGTGCACGCCCATGATGTTGCCGATGTGCGTGCCAGCCAGCTCCCAATGCTTCTTCTGCGCCCTACGTCGCTCCTTCTGCTCGCGGTACGCCCGCACCAATGCCGAGCCTTTCCTCGCTACCAGGGCCATGTCGGAGGTGGGGTCGCGCACAGGCACGACCGGCTCCGGCTGCTTCGTGAACACGATCCGCCCGTCGAGGAACGGCGGCACCACGTTGTGCACCAGCAAGTGCACCCTCGCCTCCCCCTCGTCGTCGGGGTCGTCGTCGTGCTCCAGGGAGCTCACGACACCCGACGTTAGCATACGGTTGCGCTCCCACAGCTCGTTGTCCTTGTTTATCTGCCGTTGCTGCGCCGAGACGCGCTTCTGCCTCCTCGCTTCCAGCTCCATCTCCTTCTTCCGCGTGTACTCCTCGGACACGTTGGCGAACGCGTTGTTCTCCCCGTCGTCCAACGCGTACCACTCCCTGTCCAGCCTCTGCTGCTCCTCCTCCCACATTTCCTTCTCCTCCCCGTCTATCATCGGCGTGGCGCCGGAATTCTTCGGGTCCTTGTTCCAAGGATTGTACTTGTAGGAGGGAGTGAACTCGCTCCTGACGCTGTCGCGGCCCTCCCGGTTGCCGTAGATGTTCGGAGTCGGGTGGTCCCAGCTCGAGCGTTTCGGCTCCTCGTCCTCGTCGTCGTCCCAGTTGCTCTTGGAGGTAGGATCCTTCGTACGGAATTTCGGTGTCTGCGGCTCATCCCTGAATCTGAGCGGAGTCTGCCTCACGCTGTCTCTGCTTCTGCTCTCCCTGTCCCGCCGTCTGTCGCGATCTCTCTCGCGGTCTCGGTGAGAATTCCTCGAACTCCGGTCGTCGTTCAGTCTCTGACGCTTGAGCCGAGACTCCAGTTGTCGTTGCGCCTCGTAATTCACACCGCCTGTGTGGGTGGGAGTTTCTTCCTTGTAAGACCGATACCTTCGGTCCTTACCTTCGGACTTAGATTTCGAGCTGGTGGGTTCCTGCGATTGCTCCCTCCTCTTACGCTCCGCGAGCTTGTCGAGGCCTAACACAGACGTTTCCGGTTTCTTGAAAGTGTGGTCCGAAGCTTTCTTACGGATGACCAGACCTCCGGTTTGGCTCGTATCGGTCCCTTCTAATCGGTACAAGCTCGGGTCATTCATTTTCCCCTCCTGATATGTTTATACAGCTGAAACCTGTCGAGATATTGTTACTTTCTCAAAGTAGATGTTAGTGTTAAGTAAGTCGAATATACTATTAATATACGTTGTATCTTGTTGACGAGGTTAGGAAGAAACAAGTAGACTACGTATAAAAATTTCATGTAATCCGACGATTATTATGAATAAAAAGTTGTATCTTTAGAACATTACGTTAATCTAATGTTTTCTAATATATATGAATACATTAATTCATATCAATATACAACATACCACGAGATCGTCAACAAATCAACAGACGTTGGACATCAACAAAGTGACATTGTATTTTAAAATTACAAATCTTTTCACTGAACAACTTTCAACAAAGTAGTGGAAGCACATTCGGGTCTTGAACAATTTACAAGCGATACACATTTACGATACTATTGCAAGATATATTTGCATAGTCTTGCACAGTCAACAAAATAACTCTTGTGCTAACGCCCCAAAAAATCACAAAGTGACTGATGTCACGTAGCGTTGTCGAACTAGTCTCTTTCTGCGCATCTGCAGCAAAAAATGCGCATGCTCAAAGGAAGAATCATCTAAGCACACGGCGGGTTACTTGCGCGCCATCTCGAGATTTCAGCAGAACAGGTAACGACGTGACCGGTAAGTAGGATTGTCCTGATTGATATGTGTAAAACATACAGATAGAACTCTCACAATTTTCTTTCAGTTCGTTGTGCTTTAGCTTTAAGGATTAATAATATAATGCGACTGATATAATAAATTTCTACACACACACATACACGCAGTTATAAACGATTAAAAGTTGTAACACTTCTACCTCGATGGGTTTCGCCACGCATTTCGCGTCTAATTGAAAAATGTGTATTTCCTGAGAATTATTAATAACGCAAATTTTCCTATGGGATACGTTGTGAAATTCAGCGAGATGAAAGCTTCAATTATTTGTAACCTCGCATTATCCGAACGCGGATTAACTGAACGCATTAACTGAACGCGATCAGGTGTGTTTTCAAACGCGCCAAAGAGGAATCGTTTAAACTGTTCGGTAAACAATAAGTGTGCGCATGTGCGAGTTTAGTTTAACGCTCGCCGTGATTAATGGAGTCTAAACCGAAGACTCTCCGCGATTTTCGCGTTTTATACTCGCAACGAACATTAATTAAGTTGACGAGGATGATTGACGTAGTGTTCCTGCATCTGATGTGGCCAGATTTGACTGTGTGAGTACTTGTCGAGTGCGGTATCGATCACGATTGATGAACTTAGGATCGTTCGTCGAGGGTAAGTTCGTTTTGGACTCTTTCGTATTCCAAGCGTCCTTTCAGTACGAAGACCAAAACGAACTTCGCTTAAGTCATTAGAGCCTTTCCAGAGCAGCATATATTGGTTAGCTAATTATTGCTCAGTATTTGGTTAACATTAATTAGCCAACTAATGCGTGCTGCTCAAGTTCACACATACGTTGCCATAACCGTGAAAATAAGACGTAAAATTTTAGCTATAATCCTATTCTGATAGGTTAAGAACGTAAGTTGCATATTACACTAATTTACGGTTATTTATTGATTTTTCAGGAAAGTTAAAGGAAAGCGTCCAGACATTTTTGTAAATATGTCGAGCCGATCATGAGTGTTATTTATATTATTTCTACGTATCCGTCATATATACACCAATCAAAACACAGTTCCCTCCAGCAAACAATCCAGCACGAAAACAAGCATCGTGTGCTATTGGTTTTCTCCCTACTCCACAGGGTTACTACTTCTAATGTAGAAGGTCTTTTAAAATGTAGTCCACATTTATTACGACAAAATGGCGAAATACTGCTCAGGTAAAATGGATACTGAATTGCTATAGAAAGATTTGGTTAATTGTTGCATTAAGATCACATGTATTTGTAGTAATAATGTGATATATTTTGGCACTCGAATATATGTAGTTCTAAAAAAAGTTAACGATCATATATATAGAATAGAGAAAGAAAAAGATGGTAGTATAGAAGACAGATAAAAAGAATGAAATTTTGAAAATTGTTGTCTGAAAATTTCAGCATCGTCTTTTATTTTATATTCTGTAACTTTTAGAGAAAATGTTGAAAAAGCAAACGAATATTTCACATTCTTTTCTTTTGATTTATTGACATTAAAATTTCTCCAAAAATGTATCTTATGGAAATTATTGTTATATTGTGATGAACAGTGGAACATTAACTGAGTATATGTCACTATTAATATATTATCTATGGGTGTACTGATTTAACCGGTCACTTCCGTGTATGAGAGCCTCCTGCGGCAATTTTTAGCCATGAAAATGTTTTTCATTGATTTCATAGCGAGACCAGTAGTGCTGTGATTCATCAATTTGTCCCAAACATTTATATACTTTTGATGATCTTTCGACTTTTTCACAGACATATCAAGGCTCTCTTTGTTCTCGTCGCATATTTCTCTGTTCGTCAATGTTACAGACCTGTTTGTCCTCAGTATTTTGTCTTTATGATATTTCCTCCAGCAACGCTCAAAATTCATAAAAACATCTTTCCAGATGCACAGTTCCTCCACTAGAATAACATTTAATTATAGTTATAAATTTAATTATATCTAATTATTTAATATAACATCTAAAACAACATTTTATCATAATTACTTAACACAAGACATTCATATATCACAAGTTTGAATGATCAAATTATATTGTTTAAATATAGCATAATATAGTGACTTTGTGTAACAATAATAGAAATATCTATAAATGTTTAATTGCATTTAAATGCATCTTTTTTTATATCTGTACCATATATAAATAATGTTATAAATATAAAGAATCCTGCAGGCATATTTGCGTTAGGTAATACTGTGTATGCTAATTCGAAAAGAGTTGGTCCTTCATTAAAAGCCATTTCCTCGATAGTGTTGACAAGCCATGGTAAATACAAATATGGAATGTCATATGCGTCTCCTATTGTCAGCATTACCGTCGATATGAACGCCACGAGCACGTTTGTCACCATTATCTTGATTCGCAGATCTGTAGTAAATAGCAAGTAATTTTTCTCCGCACATTATCGGTACTCAAGCGTTAACAAATCAAATGTGAAGCTGAGGTTCGATTACTGTAATTTCGGCGTAATAAATTGTTATAGACGGCAAATCTCATCGGAGAAGACGAACGTAACGAGCCGCGCGAACCGGCTTCTAAAGCGATCGAGCTTAAACAATTAGTTACGAAACACATTAAGCCTAGATATAGCATCTTGGCCTAAAAGAGATACAAAAAACGGGATCGAATGAGATTTCATTGAACAAATAATTGCAATTATTTTTTTAGCATTTTAATTCTTTGAACTGTACTCTTCAAAAGTGGTACCTTGGATTTCTTTACATTGTGATCATCGTCTTTAATATTTGTATCGGAGCTCGATGTTCCCGTGTCGAGGATCATTGTGAAAATCTGGAACTTTCCGTTTAAATTTCCTAGGAATTTTCTCAATTTACTGTTATTTTGTCTTACTTGCGGTGTAACGTTAGCGATATTAAATTGGTTATAATTTATGATACACGTGACACCCACATAATTCATCGGAAAATTTAACGACGTGAATAAAAGACGGGACAAATGATGATTAACATACAATATCCAACTTCAGTCGCTTACATGTTTCGCTTTTGCCTCCGTATCCTGGAAATAATCTAAGAAATAGAATAAAGAAGATAATCTAAGAATATAATACAAATAATCAGAATATAATAAAAAATAATCTAAGAATATAATAATCTAAGAAATAGAATAGCCTGGAATTTTTCGAAAATTTGTTTCCATCACGGAAAGCCGAGGAATTTTCATGAAATTTTAGCAAACCTTAGTAAATTCTTTTTTATTGACTTTGATAATTCTCTAATTTTACTTGAAATTTTGAATAAATGCCCCTGAAAGATCAGGAAATTCTCAGAAAACTTTTTCACAACATTTAAACGTAGAATTATCCTAAATTATGTTACACACATTTACACATAAACATACACACATATACACAAGACAAAAGCCATGACATAAATATGCGAACGACCTCTCATAATTCCTGTCCCTGCGCGAATACATCTCCAGCCGTTTAAAATCTCGGTAACGTCGCCGCAAAGGAGACGATCGGCATCGTGTGCGGCCCGAAGATCCGCTCATTGTTTGTCTAATGCATATTGACTATTAACAGCAGATCCGTTTGCCTTATAGGTCACGCCGCGGCCACGTCACGTCCTTATTCGCTAAGCAGTCTCATCGCTCCCGATCATCTTCGGCCGGCGTCCATATTCGGCGGTCTCACCCACGGACAATGCCAGTCGCATTCATAAAAGCGTCCACCTGTTTGGTGAGTAGAACGCATTAAATACCGTAGACATAAAGCGAAAGGACATCATCGACTTTCAGCGCATGTCACCTTGCGGTGGAAGAGCGCGCCGCGCTCTTTTCATTTTTCGCCTGCGGTTCTTTTCATACAAACCGAATTCATCGGAAACTCACTTATTCAAACGACTCGAAACCCATTAATGCGCTGAACATTTTAAATACGCGATTCTTATACACCAAGCGAAGTTATCAGACATTGTTGGGGGGAAGCACGGAAATAAAACGATGATCGATAATCGTTGCACCATTTACGCCGGCTCGTTTTCCTCGATGCGACAGAATCTTTCTATCGGCATTTCCATCCTCCCGTTATCTTTACACTGAAAAAAAAGTAATAAATATTTGAGACTATAATCATGCATTGAACGAATTACAGCCAGAAAAATCATTTTTGCAGCTAATGATATTGTAATGCTAATGATAATAACTTTATACGTACATATCGTTAATATTAATTCCTTGTTGGAACGACGAAAATGTAGTTAGTGCGAAAAGGTAACTTTCTATCCTGTTGAAAATTTTCAGGCATGTTTCCTTGGGAAATCTATCGGAATCTATACAGGAAATTCAAAATCCATTTATAGAAATCCACATGGATTGTTACCTGAGACCTAGGTTTTCGGTCCCAAGGGCAACCAAAATCCCAGTGGCAACCATTGAACAGGGGATGCGATATGGGTTTCCTACATGGGTTCCTACCTGATTTTTCTCAACAGGTTAGCGAATAGAAGAAGCACAGAGGAACACCTAAGAAAGCTACAGAGGAAAACAGAAACTGTAGAGATCAAAGCAGTATTCGCGAACTCGTTATTGTTTCCTGAAATCGGAACCACGCGTGAGAAAATGAACAATCGTCTCCCTAACGAGCAATTGTCCCGATTTCGCTAATCACCAGTCGCCGTGTATATCATTAGTTAATAATCAGGCTTTTAGATTTCTAATTGTAAAAAACCCCGGGACTTATGAGAGAGTCAACGCAGGCTCTCTCATGATGGTTGCGAGCAATCATTCGTCGCGTATCTCCGCTGGAAAATCCGAGTTAAGTTCCGAGATAAGTTTCGAGGTAGCGCGAGCAATCGCGGGCGCACACGAGG